TAGTTCGTTAAATTACAATAAAGCCTCGTGCAGTTTGGAGCAAGCTCTCGAATCCATCTGGTGATTGGGGTGACCGCGAACCTGGCCTGAGACCCCGGATACTTGAGTTTTCGGGGGTCTAACAATACTAGAAGAGCTTCAGTTCAAAAATTGTTAATTTTTAAGGTTAAACTTAACAGGGATAGAATGTTAGTCTTAGTCTTATAAAAGCTATTAACTTATTGTAACAGTTAAGACATGCAAGCTAATCGCCAATCACCTTATAAATGATCAAATTCATTAATGTACTCGACTAATATAATTAATTACAGGAATATGTTTGATTTAGCCTCCTGTATATGTTTTTAAAATTAAGCCTGAAAAAAAGTAACAAGAAACAAGTGAAATTGGTTTAGTTTAGATATATATACTCAATAGATAATGGATGCTGAATATGGAATTTAAAGTGTTTAACAACAACAACAACAAAACCTTTTTGTGATAGACTATCAGTATCCCTGGGATCTCCAAAAATGATGGGGCACAAAAGAACTCCACCTGGAGCTTGATTTAATATGACTTAGCCAGCCACTGGGTGAAAAAGTACCCTTCACCACGCCCTGTCCAAACTATGGACAAGCAGAACACTGGGGAGTTGATTGTCTGCTTTGCCTAGACAAGGTAGACCAGTCCCCCAAATTCCTTCTCCCTCATCCACAGGAATGTCTGTGAGATCTTCTGGGCCTGGTGGCCAAAGACTGACACTGTTCTGGGACTTCTGGCCCCAGAGACCACAGAGGAACCTAGGGTGATTGTTCAGGTAGCCAGTAAGTTTCTGTCATTTTTAATAGATTCTGGAGCTCCTGGTCTGTACTTCCCACTTACTCAGGTGAAATTTATCCTCCTCAGATTTCTGATGGTGTTGCCCATTAGGCTAATGACAGCTTTCCTATTTGATTTGTTTTGTTTTTTGTTTTTGTTTTTCGAGACAGGGTTTCTCTGTAGCTTTGGGGCCTGTCCTGGA